CGATGCCACTTGATGGTAAGCTCGGAAGGAGCGGTTGTGCGACCCCAGTCCTGAACATCCAAGCCACGGGCGATGTGGTCGGGCTCGTAGAGGGAGTTGTCAATTGGGTAGGTGTGTGTTAGGTTGAGGAGCAGGTGGTGGATGTAGTTGGAGATGTGGATTGTGGGCAGGCCGCGGCACTTCTCCTGCATATATTCGGCAATTCCGAAAAGGTCATCCTTGTACTTCAAGACCTCGGCGCCGACGTGGACTACACACATGCTAAGCATGCTGACGTGCCAAACCAGCGCGCGGTCCCGGGGAAGCACCTCGGTGCCGCTGCTGCGGTCTGACGCTGCGCCGTTGTAATCGATTTCGTTGCGAATATTGACCAGCAACATCGGGATGAAGACCTTCAAGGTTTTCTCCGGGTTGACTTTGCACAAAGCATTGCAAATCCATGCCATCGCATCCCTAGCTTGATGGACCACGTGGCTCGTAACGAAGGCGGCCAGCTTCTCGAGCGCCATATCGAAAAGCTCCGGGGACAATGATGCGAAAAGCGGTGTAAGCGCAGCCGGCAAGGTGTTGATGACATTTTCCTCTGGGGATCCCGTGCGAAGGAGGCTCGGGTCCGGCAGGTTTTCTAGCAATGCAAACACCTTTCCCAACAAGGCGAGTACGAATTCGCCAAGGCCGGCAGTCGAGGAGCGCAGGACGTTGGCTTCGTCTTCGTCTGTCAGCTCCTCGTCGTAGCAGATCTTGACGTCCTGTCCTTCGCGTTCCATCCGCTCCATCTCGGCCTGCACCCAGTCCATAGCAAGGCTCGTATCATGGATCCTGTCATCCTGGTGTGCCAGGGGCACAAATGGGATGCTGTAAGCTACGCTCTGGATGAAGTAGAGCGTGTAGAGCGTCTTCCCCAGGTCGTTCGCATCAATACCGGGCAGGGCAAGCGCCAGCAGGGCGGTGATGTGGCAGCGGTACCCCTTCTGCTTCGACATGATGTTGGCAATCATCTGAAGGCCGCAGAGACTGGATGTCGTCCGATGGACCTCGACAAGCCCTTGTAGGCTGGGGTAGAAGCGCTGCAAGGCACCAGGAAGGATCAAGTCCGGCTCAAGGTAGGCGAGGCCTTGCAAAGTGGAGTAGTAGTAGTTCACTACCTTGGAACTCTTCGAAAAAAGCCCCATGAAAGTCACCTCCCTTAAGGCAATGACGAAGCGCTTCTTCAATTCGACATTAATCCGGCGCTCGGGGGGTATGTCGAGCTCGCCGCTTTGTTCGCGATTCCAGCGAGAAACGAAAATGTCGGTAAGAAAGAAAGTAAGCTGTGCTAAAAACCCAGTCCATGAGCCTTGGTTGGACGGATGGAAGAAGGTGTCTATAGACTCCATCAGGCCCTCAAGGTTTGCCAAGATAGAACTCTCTTGCTTGAGGCAGAGGGGAGACAAGGAATGGCCAATCCACCGGGCGACCATGTACGGCACCGGGTATTTCTTCTTATCTTTCTCCAAGTAAACGCCCAGACCCGACGCATAATCGAGTGAGGTGTACGGAGAGGTGGCCTGGCCTACAGGGATCTCGGTCAATCGCAGGATGGCTGTGAAGATGAGGTCCGACTGCTCGCGAGTGAAGATGCCATGCTCGGTGAAAGGCACATGGGTGCAGCCAAGGTAGTCTCGAGCCATGCGCGAAAAGATGTCGATGAAACAGATATCGAAACCCTTTGACCTCGTCATGAGCGACCATAGGTGGAAGAAGGTCGGAACAAAGTCGGATGGTTGCGACTGGGGCTCCGTAGGGGGGGCGGGGCCAGTAGGCAACATGGCATTGAGGGCGCCGGCAACGATGTAGGCATTTGACATGGCCGACGTGCTGAAATAGGGGAGAAGCTCCTCCAGAATCGCGCGGCGCTCCTTGGGGTCAAAGTAGGCGCTTGCGTGTAGGCAGAGCTTCAAGAGATGCTTCGACGACCGCCTGCGCGACCCCTGGTGGGAAGCGGTCTCCGATGGCAAAACCAGGGCCTTGATCTCTTTCCAAAGCGGCCGCCAATCGAAAGTGAGATCCTCACCGGGTTTTAAGTAGTGCCTTTTCCTGTAGTTGGAGAATAATCAGTATGCCAAACAAGATTCTTGAAGAGGGGGGTAGCGGCCGAACCTTGTCAACGTGATGACCATACGGGAGAAGCGATCGGCCGTATTATTATCGAGCCCCGGCGCCAGGGCGAGGTGGTAATACAGGCGGGCAAGCCGAGAGCGCAACTCCCGCGTCATCTCGAACTTGAGGTTCAGCCACCCCTGGAGTTCGCGGGTCCAGTGGAGGGCACCCGGCGAGAAGTCCTCGGCACTGATGGAGATAAAGAGGTTCTTGAGAATGCCACGGAGGGCGTCGTCCCTGTGCGAGTCATCTTCAACATCGAAAGGCAGCAGGCAATAATAGCTGAAGGTGCGCGGCCGGTAGCGCTTCTTGTCGTCTTCGTGCTGATGCTCGTCACCGCACGGGACACCAGGAGACGTCGCCCGGGAGATGGTCTCGACCGAGGCGAGCAAGCCCGAGAGGAACGGGGGAGCAGCTCCGTTGGCGGACGCAGCAAAAGCCGCGTCAGCGCCCGAATGTGTTTCTAACGACTCGTCCATTGTCTGATTTTGTTTGTCGAGCGGGGCCCGTGGTTGCGCTCGGTCTTGGGGTAGGTCGTCAGGGTTGCTCCGTTCCGAAAACGCAGCAACCTTGGAGCTGAGAAAGGTTATCGGCGAAGAACGAGTCCGTCGACGATGGAGATAGACGAAGGTCTGGCGACAACAGGAGCGGAGATAAATCGGTTGTTGCGGTCAGCCCTCTCAACCATTTCGCCCCCCGGAGGTAATGGTTGTCGGTTGTAGCGGCAGCGGGGTGCTTGTTGCTTGCCACGCGCAACTCAGCTTTGTCTCGGCGGTCGGGAATCGAGGGCCGTCGAGGCTAGGATTTTATTCCGATGGTACGAGCCTGACGGTGAAGGTTGTTAGAGTTTTACTTCTAGATATCGATGGAGGGAGCTGTTGGTCCAAGGAAACTTGGGGTCTGGAGATGCAACGCTAACCTCGCGCGGGGGAGGGAATGGCGGGAGCAGAACAAACTGAACACACCGTCATGGGATCTGCAATCCAGTTCACCAGATAACAATGCCGCTAGCCGCTAAAATGCAGCTCCTTTGAGCTTCTGAATACAGAATTGGTTTCTAAATTCCAGCCCGAGGCCTAATAAAAGCAGCGAAGATGCCGGAGACGTGCCGGAGCTTAAAGGGAAGTCAGTAACCACACGAGCCACACTGCAGCGCTCTCCGTCAAGTTGTTTGAAGGACTCCACGACCCGCAAGTTTGAGCCAACCGGAGAAGCAGCCTCAAGCTTAGCTCGTCGGGTTGTGGAACAGGGATGGCACAGGCCCTGTTCCCTTCTGCCGCCGCAAGCAAGGGTTGCGCTGTTCTGGGCTTGGGAAGCTTGGGCTTGGCCTTGACAACCAAGACCTGGGATAAAAGTCAAAGTTGCCAAACTCAGGTATTTAGTTTTGGAGGAGGTGGTGTGTCGGGTAGGTAAGGCAGAAATATTCCGAAAATACCAATAAAACTAGCAAGAGACAAAGGCCGGTTAATATTGCCTGAACCTGAGCCCAAAGGTCGGAGGGGCGTCGTGGGTTACGTTGTTCAAGAGCTTGGTTGCTTGGCCGGCGATGCCACAAGCCTGATGGAACGACAAGAATCCAAGACAACAACCGAAAAGTCGAGGGGCTACGGAATCCACTCCTATTGAGCACGGTAGGACGGTTCCGGCAGTTCTTATGCAGGAAGCCGCGAGCCTGCCCACGCACTCGCTTCGGCCTGGAGGCACAGGCACCCAAACCGGCAACGCAAGCTTCCAGAAAGGCGACACACAAACCGGAGGCTGACCAATCATGGCAGTCGCGGTGGGCCCACCACGGTGGAATCGCACCAACCGGTTCGGTGCCGTCGAACCCGAGACCAGAACATTGAACATTAAGAACACCATGAATCCATCTTCCGTCATCCATCTTGCTAGAAAATAAAATACCGAAATTGGATCTGCAGCCCAATATTCAAGGAATAAGGAGTTCCAAAATATCAAAATGGAGATGCCAAAATGGATTTGGCGCCCTCTCACCCCGAAGTTCCCGGGGATTCCATGTCACAATTACTTCCATGGTAAAAGCTTCGGATACTAGGTAGGACCTTGATACACAGTCTTTCTTACGTCTCATATGACGCCAATTTCAACGAGGGATCATGCGGTTCGTTCATGATGGACCGCTGAGACACTAAAGTCAAAATCATAATCTATAAAGGGTTGGCAACCGAACTGCCAAAGGTTGCCCATCTCCCGAGTTACTGAAGCAGCTCAACTACTTGGTCAAACAGAACTTGTTGCAGAGAACCGGATTAGATATGCTTCGTGCGTGGTGGCCTGATATGCCAGCAAAGGAACCGCGACGAACGGCTGATGGCGGGGGCCGCCCAAGCCCGTCTAACTCCACGGTGCCGGCAATGCCCACCATTCATGGAAGGGTCGGGCTCACTATGACATCAGGAAAATGGCTGGGTTATGGTAGGAAAATTCGAAGCTGAACAAGCTTCCTTGGGGAAACACGAGCAAGTACTAACCCATACCGACACGAAACGATTAGCTCCACTGTTAAACTGCACAGCACGATTGCCCTAAGGTACCTGTCTACGACAGGTTTATTGATGGCTTTCCTTTGAGCTTGAGGTAAGTTTCATGTGAAGTTGAAACAGAGTGCTTAGGTAGTGGAGACATTTTGGTTACAGAACTGCTTGTCCGGAATGAACCTTCACGGCAACCGCCCCCCTCGCTGAGCCAGTTACCATCTAATATGCAGAATATCTACGAGTATGCCTGTCGCGGATTCCACCCACAATAATGATGTAAAGCAATGATTAAGTAGGTAGTTAAGAAAAAGGTCAACTTCTCCCTAGTTGTCTCCACCAACAAAAAGAACACACCAAAAGTTGTGGATACACCCGGGATCGAACCGGGGACCTTTCACAGGGCGCTTGAGAAAGCTCAATGCGAAGCGAAAATCATACCACTAGACCATGTACCCAACCATTGAAAGGCAAATAACGACCAAGCTCCATATGAATCCACCACCCCCACCCAACCTGCCTCCTCCACGCACACCACCCACACCATTACAGTCTACGAATCTACCTACCCCTAGCTACACTCCCTTACAAACAGCCTCCAACCGCCACCCATCCGGATCCACCACGAATGCCGCAAAATAGCTCGCCCCATAGTGCCGCCGTACCCCCGGCAGCCCGTTATCCTCCCCGCCCGCCCCCGTCGCCTGCGCGTGGAACTCCACCACCGCCATCCGGCTCGGCGCGTCAAACGCCAGGTGGAACCCGGGGCCTGGCGGGGAGGCGTCCGCGCCGAACTCGAAGATGTTGAGGATTTCGTGCTGGCTGTCGCGGCCGTAGCCGAGGGTGCGGACTTTTTTGGTGGGAGGGGGGGTGGTGTCAGTGAGTGTGGGGGTGGTGGTGGTGTTGGTGTTGGGTGAGGTGGGGGTGGGTGCTTCGCTGTCGTAGACGAGTTTGAGGCCGAGGGGGGCGAGGGCTGCGGTGTAGAAGGCTTTGGAGACGGTGTAGTCTCGCACGCCGATTGAGATGTGCCCGAGGGGGCTGTGTTGGGCCATGGTATGGTGGCTTGAGCGGGTGTGTATGTTATTATGTATGAGGGGGGGGCGTTGATGGGTGCGAGGGTTGAAGTGGCTATTAAACCCCGCGGTAATAGCTTGAATCTCAAAGTGGTGGTTGAGCCAATGACGAATGGCTGGATGGAGCGGGTGGTGCTGACATGCATGCTTGACTTTCAAGGCCGTTTGCAAATATGCACCAGATCTCTATCTGTCCACAAAGGATGAATGCAAGGTGGAAGCCAATAGGTAGGTACACGGGTACCCGTGGATTTAAAGGTACACGGGTCCCGTGGCGATGACTAAGCCTGCTTCTACGTCTCCTTTTCGGGCATGACGAGTTCCCGAAAGGCGCGAAAGATCCTAATCAATAATGTATTGTCTTTGGCCTATAAATCGACATTGAAGCCGGTAGAAGTCTTACGAGATTCTTGACTACGAGCTTGCCGAGGCCCTATACTTGCCTAGCCTATTATGAATACAAAGCCTGCTGTTCCTCAATATCTCTCTCAATCCTCCTCCAGAGATCACCAACACCTCTTCTCCCTATATCAAATGGTTCGTGTTCCCTCTCTTGAGCTACCAAACCTTCAATCCTATCTTCTTCTGCTCTACTCCAATCCAGGTAGGCCATCATCTCCTCCTTCGTCCAGTCCCTTGAGCCTGTTGAAGTCGTACAGTGCTTTGTCATCTGCTTATAGTCAAGGCACCACTCGTAGCTTGCCTTGCTATATCGTAGAGGCAAACGCATTGCCTTCCGGTATTGCTGGTTGGTTCTGATGCTTCCACGTGGTTGGGCTCTGTGCCAAGTATCCCTTGCCTTGACATATCTCTGATAGATTGCCTGTGGGTCCCAGTAGTTGAGGGAAGCTGGCGATGGACTTGACAAGGCTGGTACTGTGTGATGCGGCGGTGGTGTAGGCGGCGGTGGTGTAGGCGGCGGTGGTGTAGGCGGCGGTGGTGTATCTTCGGTGACAACCTCGATTGATGGCATTGTGGGTGTTGTTGCTTGCGAGGTCGGTTGTAGAGCTGAAGCCCGCTGCAATAGTTCTGCATGCCTCTGGGGACATGCCTTTGAGGTCATTATATGACCTAATGTATGGCATCTGCTGCAGGTGGGTAATGCCTTTGGCTGTGTTACAGCCTCGACTGCCCCAAACCCGCTAGGCTCTCGCCTGGTGCTTGATTGTGGTATAGTCGAATTGGCAGCAATAGGATCGATGCGTTGACGAGGCTCGAGTAGCAACTGAGGAGCGCCATCGCGTTTGAGATGCCAGCGTGAGGAGAAATGCTCAAGTCGAAGGACCAAGTTCTGGTCAAGCAAAACCTCCAATGTATGGACACAGGGTAGTCCCATAGATAGAGAGAAAGAGCCTGAACAGGTTCGCGACAGAGATGGGCCTTTCCGGGTGAGGAGTTTCCGCTGCTCGTCGACCTTCCTTAGGGCCTCGTGTGATACCCAACCACGTACTCCACTGTATAGTGATCCAGAGAGCTCAATTGGAAACCGAATTTGCTGCTTGGCCTGGTTGGACTTCAGCTCCCCAAGTTGGTTGAGTAAGGCATGCTTCATCGCCCTCCAGGCCTCAAAAAGATCCAATGTAGATCGCTTGAGATACCCTTTGAGCAGTGCATGGATACCTTCAACACGTGAGGTTACCACGTTGCCGAAATGAGGGTGTTGGTCAACCCAAGCCTTAACAAGCTGTTCCTTGTACAAATCGAGCCAAGTGTTCTTGATATACTTGACCTCTTCGACATGGTGTGGAAGATACTGCTTCTCAAACTCTTCTAGACGCTTGTAGAATGCCTCCTCATCTGGCGATCTCATGATCGAATGCCAGAACATGTAGAATTCCTTCCAAGGTTCAAATCCTTCGTGTTGGCTGGTGAAGGCTGGCTGGCAGTGACGAAGAACTGCTTTATTCGCATGCCATAAGCACAGCAGTGAAGCGGCAGATGGAAAGCAGGTAGAAACAGCGTTCATACATGCGATACACCTGTCTGTCAAGACAACAGAGGGAAGTCGAGCATTGCAGACCTCGTAAAGCGACCTCAGCCGGTCCAGAGCCCAAAGGTAATCCTCTTCGGTCTCGCCACGAAGGAATGCGAATGCAATGCAGAAGGATCGCTGGCAAGCATCGACGCCGATCATGTCAAGGAGCGGCATGCCGTATTTGTTGGTCTTGTATGTGCAGTCTAGCAAGAGGGTATCCGGATAGGCTTGAAGGTACGCCAGTGAGTCTGGGTGGGCGAATAGAACAGCTGTGACCCGGCCATCTGGAAAAAACTGCATTCGACTCCAGAATCCTTCTCTGTCTAGCTGATTGGCGAGTGCATGGATAGTACTCTGGCCTTCGCAAATGTCTCGTTTTGTCGCTGCAATGCGATTGTAGACGTCCTGCTGGGTTGCCATAGAATTGCCGTTCTGCCGTATGTATGTCCTGATATCCTTGGGGGCTATCCCAGAGTTGACAAGGTTTGCGAGCTGGGTAGCATCATCCTTGGATAGTTGCCGGTGTGTCGGATGAGCAGATGGATGCTGGCTTGGTTCATGATTGTGTATGGAAAACCGCTTGTCGGGGCGATGCCTTAAGGTCCAGGTACTCTTATCCAGAGATTCTTTGGCCAGGACTGAAAACTGGCAGCCTGTTCCTCGGGAAGTTGTCCTCCGTTGGCGTTCTCTCGACACAGAAGGAGGACGACAGGATCGATCACATATGTATGTAATCGTCTGTCTGCCAGTCTTCTCCTTGGTTGATCTCCCAGTAATGAATGCGTAGCCCTTAGTCGCAGCCCAGGAATTGATTGACGCGAACAGGGCATCCCTCGATTCGTAATCGCGTTCCGGAGGGAGACTATCGTCAGAGAACGAAGTAGCTGCTTTAGCCGAAAGAAGACTCATCGTGACTTGAATAAAAATACGTTGCGTTGTTTAAAGGTCTGAGGAGTGTATTGCAACTATCTGATAATGACTCTAGAAGTGCAAACAAACTTGAAGCAAAGGAGAGGAAAAGGAGAAAATAGCTCTGACCAGGTGGGGATAGTAAGTGCAAAGGGGTAGGCGTGATGGAGTCGTGGGTTTGGGGAGGATGGAGTCGTTGTTCAGGGGGTTTTCTATTGAGGGTTAGGGATAGGCGTGGGTTGTCGAGCCTGCGCAGAAGCAGGCTTAGTCATCGCCACGGGACCCGTGTACCTTTAAATCCACGGGTACCCGTGTACCTATTGGCTCCCATGCAAGGTACGGTGCTGAGTCATGTTCTGGAATCTCCTTTCCCGCCGCGGAATTCGTTCATTGGTGCCTAACAAAGTGGCGTGAAATGGCAACAGGATTTGGGTCTGAAAAGGGTGGTGCCATGGCCCGTTATACTGTGCCTCAGCCATACAATATCTGCAGGTGGCTCATGAACTGGGCATAGCTACCCAACAAAGCACCCATTGCACGATGTGCTGCCCAGTCACATGGTTCTAAATGCATTTGTTTCTGGTGGCTTCTGCGAGACGCTGCCAATGATGACTAAATTTCCTTTCGAAGAGAATAGCAGCAGCAGCAGCATTGTAACATGCACTAATAGCCAACACTTTTGACGTATGAAGACTATATTCTTGTTGGTGCTAATCAGGGGATGGATACCTATGCGCATAAAATGACTACCCGAAGACTGTCTTGAAAACATTCCTTGTGTGCTAAATATCATTATCAAAACTTGAACCGCTATGAGCTATCCAATATCCGAGTCTCGGACTTCATTCTGTCAAGGTAGCATTCTCTGAGTCTCGGACTTGATTCTGTCAGGCAGCATTATACTACCATGCTTTTTGCTTGGTATGTACATCCCTGGTATATAAATTGTGCAAATACATCTTCTTGCCAAGAATACCAGGTACTGTTCCGTTCAAGGTTCGCACAAGAAACATGCGGCACAGGTTCGGCTGACATGAACACAAATGGTCTTGGATATCCTTCGCTCTAGGGCAGGGTCCGTCCAGGTCTACTGTTCTCGATGGATGCAGTGTAGAGTTGGGTCCGTCTCTCCACGAAACACTGTCAATACTGTGCAGCCTGCACCGCGCCACCGCCTCGTAGTTCCGCTCCGCAGGCTTGATGCCAGGTGCTTCAGTGTGGAATTGGTTAGATGTGAATTCAACTGGTGTCGGACGCTTCAGAAATTGATCCGAATATCGGACGGATCAATCTCACGAGAAGCCGTTAACTCGCGCCGGTGATAATGTTTCATCGTGTCATAGTTTGAGGAAGGGGGGAGCTGGCTCAAAGGCTGTGACACTCAACAAGGCCACGGTGTCGTCGAAGTGATGGGTGCCCCTATCTAGGTACCCAGAAAAGAGATGTCCACACTGCTGCAAGGTGGAAGGTTTTCGCAAAAGGAATGAATTGTCGCGCTTGA